AAAAAACGTGGCTTGCTTCTTTCCACTGATTTTGGTAAGAATGAGAGGCATTGCCAGTGGATGTGACCAGTCCCGGGTTCCGCATACTTCCCAGAAATAAGGAAAATAATAAAACAGCTGATATTAATGTTTCAAGACCCATTTATTTAAGATTATGTATAAACACCTGTTTGTTGTCCGCATTCCATTTATAGATACCGTCATCAAAAAGGAAGTATGCTTAAAAGTGTATACCAAGAATAGTTCGAGCAGTCAGTAGATGTAAAAGGAATTAGAATGAGAAAACCATCTTCTGTCTTGGTGAATATCAGTATGGACTTGTTTCGGAAAAACAACATTGAAGGAGGGGGTGAGGAGACGATTGTCAAAGAGGATGTCTTCGAGATGTTATCGTGGGCGTAAGAGGCGGCCTTGTTCAAGCAACTGCTGCTTAGAAATGTAAGCTCGTAGCAGGGTGTAGCACCGAAAGATCTGGGCCAGAACAAGGACCATGTTCTTGGCAACGAAAAAGACGTTCTGATAACTGCGCACAGCAAAGGCAAAAATCAGAGTGAGTCTTAGGCACATAAAAGGTATATCATGGAGCAGTAGAGTCATAATAATGGTCCATAACTCCGTTCCGAAGATGACCTCAACAAAATGACCACGTAGAGTATAGTAATTACGCCAGAAACAACCGTAACAACAGCAGTCTCCGTCTATAGAATCGCTCGATTCGGTCTGTGATTCCGTTTCTTGCAGGGAGCTTGCTTCACTGATCTCCTGAATTGTAGAGCTTTGCGTCTGTGATTCCGTTTCATGCAGAGAGCTTGACTGAACGATGTCTGTCGTTGAAGAGCTCTGCACCTGTGATTCCGTGTCAGACTGGGAGCTTGACCGACGAGTCTTCTTTCCTATGCAACTTGGCAAGTTAAAGTTTTGGTTGGTGTCGCCTGTCGCGGATGCCAGAAAGGGGTTATGCTGACCACTGTCTGGCGTCTGTGGATGTTCCACGACGGTTGGTGTGCTGGCCTCAAGTCTGGCGGTCTTATTAAAGCAAAACTGCAGAAGGCTGACTTGCCATAAGCAAAGGATGCTGACTTGTAGGGAGAAATGTTTGACAACGGCTTCCTCGCTGAAGGCCTCGAAGAGGTCAATGATGTCAGCAGCGGTGCCAATGTTGATGAGCAGCAACTCAGTGATCTGATCGGTGCCGATACCGTAAAGCGGCAACAACCAGCGGCCGATAATTGCACAGAGTAAGTGGACCCGTTCTATCGTACGAATCGTCAGGTACAATGGATGCTTCTTTACAAGTTTTAACTGAAGGAGGGATGAAAAGGCAGTCAGTGACAAGGAAATTCCAAAATATAGCTTTAATTTTAAAAGAGTACTTAG